TAAAAATCTACTGGGAACTGATGAGTTGGCAAGCATATTCATATGATGCAGTGTACCAAGATACTTCCCTGGGGTGTAATTTCCTGAGCATAACTGCATTCTTGCTTATGTTGCTAATTAAAACAATGATACAAAAAATTGTTAAATAAAGATAGAAAAAGTGGCAGCATTTTCCATTACTTTTTTTGTGTGTGATGCAATGCATTTCACCAAATTAGGCAATCCAGATGTATTAGATTTCATTCCCTAAATTCTCACTCTGAATGTCCTTTGTTGGCTGAGAAAGTTAAAATCTAGCACATCTGAAGGACATCAAGTTATAAAAGGGTGTTTGTTTAATGAGCAATAGAAATGTCTTGTTTAATCAAAATAATAATAATTGAAGTAAGGAAATGCTGATAGAATGGCTAAAGCACCATACCTCAATATAGGGCAGAAAATTGTAATTCCCCTGAGAAGTTTGCACATTTCTATATTCACATGAGAAACTTTCCTTCAAGCATTACCTCTGCTAAGGAGGTCCATATCTGCCACATAATTTTTGCATAAATTACAAAAGATACCCTAAAGACTGAATATTTTTTTATTCCTGGGGAATGTTTTAGGAATCCATTCTTGAAGCAGAAAATGGCAAGGAATATCTGCCCTTTCTTTCCCCATCCCTTTTAGGATATAAACGAATCTCCAAATAAAATTATTTTTAAAAAAAAATGGAAAGAAAAATGCAAAATTTATTTTTAAGTAGTTAAATAAAACTACTTTCTTTGTTTATTTGTTTCTTCAATTTCTATATCTGCCTATAAAAATGCAAACAAATATAGGGCCCATCTCAAGATGGTGCTGATTTTTTACTAATTTAGACAGAGTGTGTTTCCACACTTTTTGTTTATACACAAAAAGAATACAAAATAATCTTATGCTGATTTTTAATGCTATTTTTAACCCATTCTTTAAAAGTTACCTGTTTTCTTAAAAGCAATGACTCAGTAATTCCTACACTTCTTCCTGTGTCTATGGGTTCAACTTCCACAACTTTTGAAAAGATAAAATAAACCCTATTTCTCTTCTCAGCCTTGGTTTCCAACTTTTTTGTTTTACCATAGTCCATTCAAACATGTATTGGAAGTCTATTCCAATAGACTTCTATTGATGGTTGATGGTGAATGTGAGGTAGGAGCTACTTAGCTACTCTTTCCTATAAAATACACACATACACATATTATTGATCTAATGGTAACTAATGGGACATACATTTAAATAAATCCTATGCAAATTATCTTTTATTCTCTCAGTATAGAAAAGTGAGACAGAAACATATGGAAAAAGTTAACTGCATTCATTCTTAAGTCGTTTAGATTTTTTGTACACTCATATCTAAATCTTAAAGCACATTTCAAAATTCTAAAAAAAAAAAGAAAATATGTATATATAAATCATAAAATAACACTTCCACGTAATTCTGCACTGCTATGCTGGCTTCCAGTTTTTTCCAGGTACACTTCAAGGCTGATCATCCTCTTTGAAACCCTATATGACACAAGGCCATATTATCTGCAAGACTACCTTTCCCTAAGGATGTCTATGTATCATACCAGGTCAGATAAAAGAGGTGTACACATAATCCCTAAATATTGCTATCTGATGGGAACTAGGAAGCATATCTTTCCTGTTACAGCCCCTGCTTCATAGAAGCTCTACATTTGGCAAGTTTCTACGCCATAAAGCTTTGAAGACCTGGCTTTTCCCCCAAGCACTGGAGTAAGATTAAGTGACATCAGAAGTTCCACTTTAAGACAAGTGTTTGATGTTTTAAATGTGTTTAATTTTATAGCTTTAATATGGTTTTATGCTGTTTCAACTTTGGAGCTACCTAGATTTATAAGATAAGACAAATGCTTTATATAAATAAATCAATCTTATTAAAGTGCAGAATATGTATTCTCTTATTTTGAAGATGCAATCTGGGAAGGTTGCAGTGATTTAATCTGGTAAATCCTTTGGGCAGCACAAAAATAATTAAGGTAGTCCTCAATTTAAAACTTAGCAACTGTTGGAAGTTACGATTCCTCTCTCCCCAAAAGGTACTTATAATTCAGTTCTGAAATTTCAATAGCCAGCCTACCCCACTCCCCTCAATCACATTTCGGGTGTTCAGCAATGGTCTGCAATTATGGTTATTTGCAGCGTCCCATGGTCACATGACCACAATTTATAAAGTTTTTGCTGAAAACCAACACTTACTTCCAATTTGAGGCAAAACCATCCCATTTGTTTAACAAGCACTGTAAAAAAGCTTGTAAAATTGGGTTGGTCACATGATAATCTGCTTTACAACTGTCATGACTTACAACCATAATAGGAATGCTCCATAATGGTCATAAGTTGAGGATCACTTGTAAAAATACATTTCACATTGATCTGGTGGACTAAATGTATAGACTGCATTAGTGAAGGTTGCTTGGCCATGCTGGATGTCAGCAGTTCAGCAACAACATCAAGTCAAAGTGGCCCCTGTCTCAGTTGCTTAACAAGGGAAGAGCCTGTTCTGGAGCAGCAAAACCACAGCATCAGCCACACTCAGTTGAACTGCAAAGTGGTGCCAGGGATAAGCAGTTCAGCAGTGATATCAGCAAGGCCACCACCTTAGGAGACGCAATCAGGCTGAGGCTGGGATGGCCTAGAGCAGTGGCAACAGCAGAGGACACACTTGACTCAGCTGCTTAGCAGTGCTGGAGATTAGTTATTTGGCAGCAGCATTAAGTTGAAGCCACACCCCAGATGTTCAATGGCAATATCAAACCAAAACTGGCTCCCCAGGAAACTGAGGAAAGTCAGGGACAGAAGGGAGACTAAATCTGGAGTGAGGACTTGATTGTGGAGGCAGGACGAGGCTACAATAGCAAAGGTGAGAGTTGGGCTGTGCATCTGAGTGGAAGCTAGTATTGAGACCAGACCTAAGGCGACGGAGTTTGAGACCGTGGCTGAAGTGGCAAAACACATGGTGTAAAGCCCCGTGATTGAGCACAAAGCCAATGGCTACCAGGGTTTCCGGCTGCAACATTCCACTCAGAGTAAGTGTTGGGTAGAAGGCTGTGTGAACCTGCCTCCCTCTGGCTGACCAGTGGGTCTATCTTAGGAGGGGGGTTGTTGGTTTGTGTATAGGGAGTGGAGGGGGAAGTCCTGCTAGCACCAAGAGTGAGCTATGGTGCCTCGGGCCTGCCTTTCTCAACCACTTCCCCAGGTATCTGAGGCAGCGGTTATGAGCAGTCTTGAAAAGGGCCAATAGATAGCTGGAGCACCACTGGAGAAAAACAAAGAATGAATCTGATCAAACATAAAAGCTGCAATTAACGCCTACCTTGTAGAAGTAAGAGTGGCAAAACATAGTTTTTCTCCACACTTATTGAAGTGTTATCAAATGGACCGTAACAAATGTCAATAAGTAAGACAACAAGCCTGAATGGTGAATATGGCAGTACCTGGAGACAGGTACCTGGAGACAGCAAAAGAGAAGAGAAAAAACTAGAGAAGATAACAAAATACAGAGGTCTGCAAATAGAAACAGAATGACTGTGGCAAAAGAAAGCAAATAGCCACTTTGGGTGCAATTGAAAAACAACTGGAGCACTACTTGAATACTATTGGTATTGACAAAATGACCATTGGACAATTGCAAAAGGCAGCTTTACTTGGAACAACTTGTGGTAATTTAATTGTGCATTGCTGCCACTAAATTCCATATGGAAATAACCAGTGGTGGGATTCAATTTTTTTAACAACCGGTTCTGTGGGCGTGGCTTAGTTGGGGATGTGGGTTGGTGGTCATGTGACTGGGTGGGCGTGGCTAGCTGGTCATGTGACTGGGTGGGCGTGGCTAGTGGTCATGTGACCGGTGGGCGTGGCTATCTGCATAGGGACTACAGAGGGCTGAAAAAAGTCATTTCTGACTGGTCCTCGCACTTTTGACCGGTCCTCGCACTTATGACCATCCTCACATTTATGCCCGTTGTGGCATTCTTAACAACCGTGTCACTCATTTCACAACTGCTTCTCTTCACCATGGTGACAAGATAGGGCAAAAACGTAAAATGTGAGGACAGTCGTAAGTTCGAGGATTGGTCAAAAGTGTGAGGACCAGTCAAAAATAACTTTTTCAGCCCTCTGAGTAGTCCATACGCACAAAAGGACCACCCAGAGGGCTGAAAAAAGTGATTTCTGACTGGTCCTCGCACTTATGACTGGTCATCATTTATGCCCATTGTAGCATTCTTAACAACCGTGTCACTCATTTCACAACTGCTTCTTTCAAAGAAAATACATTGTATGTTTGTATGTGTGTTTCTAATTATTGCTATTTATTCATATTTGTTCTCTTTTATTCTTTAAAGTTTAACAATTCATTCTTTATCTTAATATCTTTATATTTGTTTGGGGTTGCCTTTTTTCCCTTTCATCTTTTTTATTGTACAGCAATCTTTCTTCTCAAACCTACCACCTCTCTCTTTTCTTTCCTTCTTACTTTCTCTTCCTCCCCTTCTTCTTCTCCTCCCTACTTCCTCTTCCTTTCTCCTTCTCCTCCTCTCTTCCTCCCTCTCTTACCCTCACTCCTACTCTAATTTCCCTTCCCTTCCTTCATCCCTCTCTATTGCTGTATCCTTTTATGCATATGGACTACTCAGAGGGCTGAAAAAGTTATTTTTGACTGGTCCTCGCACTTTTGACCAGTCCTTGAACTTACGACTGTCCTCACATTTTACATTTTTGCCCTATCTTGTCACCATGGTGAAGAGAAGCAGTTGTGAAATGAGTGACACGGTTGTTAAGAATGCTGCATGGGCATAAATGTGAGGATGGTCATAAGTGTGAGGACCAGTCAAAAGTGTGAGGACCTATCAGAAATGACTTTTTTCAGACCTCTGAGTAGTCTCTATACACATAGCCATGGCCACCCTGTCACATGATCTCCAAGCCACGCCCACAAAATAAGCCACGCCCACAGAATTAGTAGTAAAAAAAATTAGAATCCACTCCTGGGCCTGTCCTAGCCGGAATGAAGAGCAAAAGAGATAGGTAAGAAATGGGCTTTGCTAAAAGATGACATAGAAGACAAATTTGGCTAAACAAAGAAAAGGGAAATATATAAATAGGAATGTTGGGGTTTTTTTGTTTGTTTGTTTGTCTCTTTCTCTGTCTTCTATGCAACCACATGGTATGTTTGTTAAGATTTGGGCCTTCCCTGATTTAACTGAAATTTATGGTGTGAATGAGCAGTGTGTGTGTAAACCTGAGAGTTCTGTTTTCCTCTCCCTTCCCTCCTTGTTTTTTGTGTGTGTCCATCTAAGTCTCTGTGTGCCCTCGAGGTAATTGAAAAATGAAAAATGTCTCCAATCCAAAAAAGGAATTATTATTATTATTATTATTATTTTTAAAATTGCTAGAAAAAGAAAATGTCTTAACACTAGTTTTGTCTGGCCCACAAAACAGAGGGTGAAAGAAAAGACTGTTCAATTTTATTTCTTCCCCTTTCTGTACCTTAAAATAACAACCCAAGTTTATGAGGAAACATTTTAAGTTCATTTACAAGAAAAATTTTAGTCTTGCACTTACTGTATGTTTATATGGCTTTATCTGTTCACCTCTTTCCTGAAGCATGTGAATCCAGCCCCTTTTTCTCATGTTATATCCCCATATTGTTACCAGTTTATCTATTTAGTAACTGCAATACTGATGTGTTGTTTCTTTTCAAACTCTACCTGCAAGCTATCTACCCAACTCCACTCTAGCTCTCCATCTCTTATTCCCCTACAATGCCTTTCCTCACCCAAAAAAGGGGGGGAGGGGACCCTGTTCTAATGTCTTTCAACTCTGCACAGATGATTCTGTAACCTGTGGAAGCAGAGCACATGGGTCCAGATGCTGCCTCCAGAGGAGATGTTCCATCCATTTGAGCCAGAAATTGGGTTTGGGTTCAGTCATCCACCGGAAAGCCATCACAGCAACCAGAGTAGAGCAGACCTTCCCAAGCTTAACTGGCCAGCCTTACCACCAAGCATGTCACCCAGCAGACATGAAAAAAAGAACTGTGAGATGGACAAGTAAAGACTAAAAGACTCTTTTCAATCCCCAGAAGACAGCTGGAAAGACTGGGGGAGGGTAGAAATTCATTGTAAGGTTTTCTTTCTTGTCTCATGTATATTGTAATCAGTTTAATGTACTCATGTAAGGATTGTATTTGAGAATGGCTGGCACAGCAAGTTCTGAATACCTTGGACTGGGAGGAAAATTTGTCCAGCATATTTCTTTTGTCTATTGTAAAAGTAGCTGCATACACAAGCACATGTACAGAGACACACCATTCAGAATTAGACAGAGGATATCTCCTTCACCTACCTCCATACAAAGCTGCTCCTGGCTTCTTTTTTTGTGTGTGTCTTTTTTTTCTGTGTTTTTTGTTTGTTTGTTTCTTTGTTTGTCTTTTGCTCTGTGGCACTAAAGCCCAAGCAGTCATATCTCCCTACTTATCCCATGGGGGAGGGGGCATCCCCCTCCGGCAATTCCCTCATTTGAAGAGAGCAGAAAAGAGATCTCCAAACCCCAAGCCCTGACTGTGATTCACAAAGGATGCTGCCCAGTTGCCCAGTAAAGCAGGATATGTTGCACTGTTGGTCTCATGAATAGAAGTCCAAGGGGTCATTGTATGTAATTTTAAAAATACTAATTAGCCTGGATTGTACACTGGCTAACCTCAATTTGGCCTCACAAAACTAAGAGCTAGGACAGGTTTAGTAATCATCCCTTGGAAATGGGCAGCTGGAAAAGGAAAACCATGGCTGTGAAGAACTTTGGGATTTGTGCTTGCTTGAAACCTGACCGGAAGCTCACAGAAGGTGCATCAAACATCTGAAAATAATTGGCATGGAAATTTGGATACTGCAAATTTCTTTCCAGAACTTTTCCCCTGGCTGCTAGACCTTCATGGTTGAAAGCTTTTTGGAGCCACTGGAGGAATCCTTTTCTGTTGCCTCTATCAATACCTTCCCCTTTGTATCAGAAAAATTAAAAGCACCCATCAAGTCTCCCTGATTTGATCAATTTTTAATCTTTTGCCAAGAACATGTGTGTCCCACTCACATGTTTTGGAAAAAAAGGGGGGATTGTAGGAAGTTAGCACCCACCCTTCTCCTAGGAAAATGAGATATTTTAGGAAATATTAAAAGGCAGAAATTTCTACTAAAAGGGAGGCAAAAACTCAGCCCCCCAACTTTGTCAATGGGCCATTAAGACCTGGGCCAGTCTATTCAACATAACAAAGATCTACCTTCTTCAGGCAGAGCAAAAGTAGGAATGGCCCAAAGCCAATTCCTTACATCATCACCCAGCAAGATTCAACCAAACTTAACACAGAGACAATCTAAAAAAGCTAGCTATGATCTCTGACATGCAACTATGATCTCTGACAGCAACTAATCAAGATACTCTTCCTCTCCCAGGAAGTTCAAAGCCAGAGGAGTATAAAACCCAGGGACTCTCAGCATCTCTGCCATTTATTTTATTATTTTTTTTGCCCTCAAAACCATGAGGTCCTGTCCACCATTAAATCATCTTTCCAAACAGCCACCATGCTTTCAGTGTCTTTGTCCCCACTTGGAACTGAACCCAGATGGACATTTCTTCCATAAATGTGAAGAGGGTTTTTGGTGGAATCTAAAAGAGAGTTGCATTGACTTCTGGTTGGTGCCGCGGGGATACAGACGGGGAATTAGCAGGCTCTTCGGAGCCCTGCGAAAATCCCATCTGTCAAGCCCCCGCCGGTAGGTCTTTGGACCTACCCTGTCCTGTAAGGACAGGGGGATAGAGAGGGACCCTCGGATGGCCGAGAGGAACGGGCAGGTTCCTTGGGGCCGGAGGCTTGCCCTCTGCGCCGGCAGCGGTGGAACGGCGGCCATGGTGGCTGCCCTGAGATTGCGGCAATCGGGATACAAGAATGCACAGGAGGAGAGGTGGAGAAGCGGAGAGTGGAGCCGGGAGTTTGTATGCCGGGTGAATGGACTTCAACCCAGGCAGCAACTCCCCACAAATGCTGAATTACAATTAGTCTGCCCCACCCTTAATAGTGGCTGAGAACTATTGGGGCACAAAGACAAAAGACCTGTTGGTGGATAATATAAATTATTGACTTTTTGGAAATGTTTGACTAATAATAATAATAATAATTATTATTATTATTATTATTATTATTATTATTATTATTATTATTATTATTATTATGTACCGCCCATTCTCCCGAAGGACTCAGGGCGGTGTACAGCCAAAATTAAAATACAAATATACAAATATACAATATCTAGTTAAAATTAATTAAAATCATTAAATAGTTTTGGCCAAATTTTAAAACCCAAAATTAAAACCCAATTTAAAATTAATCAATTTGATAGCCCCGCCTGTCGGAACAGTAGGGTCTTGAGGGCGCAGCGAAAAACCCGGAGGTCAGAAATGTTATGAATATCCGGGGGCAATTCATTCTAGAGGGCAGGAGCTCCCACAGAGAAGGCTCTCCTCCTGGGTGTCGCCAGCTGACATAACTTGGCTGACGGCACCCTGAGGAGTCCCTCTCTGTGGGAGCAAACTGGTCGGTGGGAGGCTAGCTATGATCTGGATCTGGATATATTTTTTCTTTACTTTTTGGTGGATAAATGAGATTGGACTATGTTTGGGAGAGAGGAAGGAGAAGAGGAAATAATTATGCCTTCAAAAGCAAAGAGAAAAGACAAACGGAGATGGATAAAAATGGTTGCCAGCTAAAAAGGGAAAGTGAATTCCAGGTTGCTTGTTACTTGAAAAGAGAAACTTTGTTGCTTGTTATTTAAACTTGACTATTTTGAGGAAAAGACTCCAAGAACTTAATTTAGGATACATAATCTGTTCACTGGAGGATTTATTGAAGATTAGAAAGAAAGAAATTAAATGGAACAATGAAAACTGAATTAATAAATGTGGCAATAAAAGAAGGGTGTGGCAATAGAAGAAGGACATGATGATACCATATATGGAATAGCTTCAGAATCGACATTGTAGAACTTACAACTTTGATGACATTGAAATGGAAAAGATATATACTTGGACAGACTGGAGAAAGGAATAATGGAATATATTATGTAACAAGACAACAAAATATTATATTTTGATTTAAATGAATGTAACGGTTTCTGGGTGGTTGAATAATGCTAGGAGATACTTTTTTCTTTCTTTCTTTTCCTTCTCTATGCTCTCTCTCTATTTCTTTCTTGTAGTATCCTTTTCTTCATTTCTTTTCCCCTCTCTATTTTCTTTTTTAATCCATTTTACTTCTTTTGTTATATTTCTACTCTCTTCCTTTTTCTTTTTTCTCTTTTTTAGGGTTGCCTTATTTTTTTTCGTATTTCTTTTATTGTAATTATTATTATTGCTATTACTTTCTCCTTTTTTTCTATTATTTTCATATAAATATATAAACAATTTGATTAAGAAATAAGAGCATAAATGATTGAAGAAAAACATGATTTTTGGATGTAGAACATGCTCTTTTAAATTTTGAATTTTTAACTAGCACTACTTACAGATTTAATAAGCTGGAAGAAAATATTTACTTTTAAAGTCATTGGATGTTAAAAAGAATTATTTATAGAATTAAGAACCATAAAAAATTGATTTTAAAGTGTTCCAAAATGTTTCCTATTGAAAATAAGAAATAAGCATGGAATGGGAGAAAACTTAAGAGAGAATAGGAGATAAGATATTTATTGAAATATACTTTGATCTTAAACTGATAAGAGATATGGAGGAGAATAGATTGGAAAACAATATTGGTAACATATTCCAAAACAATTTGGAGGTAAACAACTGAATAAGAGATAAATGTTATGAATTAGTTAAAATAAATGAATTTAGGAGTGGAGGAAAGCATGACTCTGGAGATCAGTGAAAGCAAAGCTATGACCCAGTTTTACAAATAAGTAGGAGTGGAGGAAAGCATCATACTGGAGAACAGTATGGGAACCAGTTAAAAATAAAAATAAGAGTTAGGAGTGGAGGAAAGCAAAGCTGTGAACCAGCCAAAATATTGAGTTAGAAGTGGAGGAAAGCATACGCTGGTCAACAGTTAAAGCAAAACTGTGAACTAGCCAAAAATAAAAAGGTAGGAATGGAGGAGACTATACCTGGGGATCAATTGAAATAAAGTTGTGAACCAGTTAAAAATAGGGGTAGGAGTGGAGGAAAGCATTGCTGGAAGGCAACTACTTGAATTGTGAACCAGTTTTATAATAGATTTAGGAGGAGTTAAGGAGAAGGTTGGTGTGCAGTTAAAATTATTCTGTGAACCAGCTAAAATAATTAAGATAAGGAGTAGAGAAAGCATTGCTGGAAAGCAGCTGATTAAGATGCGAACCAGCTAAAAAATAAATTTAGGAGGAAGTGGAAGAGATTTTACCGGAGAATAGTAGCTAAACTGTGAACCAATTTAAATAAATACAGATAGGAGTATTGGAAAATACAGCTGGGAAATAAGATATTTAAACTATGAACCAGTTAAAAATTAGATTTAATAAAATATGAGAATAAACTTGAAATAAATAAAGTAAAGTATTCTGGAAGTAACAAACTATAGAAGGAAATGTTGATTGTTTATGAAATGACTTTAAGAGAGGAGGAAAATACTTTTTGTCAAGATTATGGATATTAGATGTCATTTGAGAGAAGTAAAATATAGATTTGAGGTAATGGGTTTTAGGATTGAGGAATATATATGAAATATTCACTGTTAAATGATAAAGATTTAGAACAGTGTTTATTGTTTAGAATTTTGCGTGTAATAGTAGAATGATAAATGTTTAGAATAAGATTTTTTTTCTTTTTTCTTTTCTTTTTTTTTTAAAGATGTAAATGGATAAAATTTGGAACAAAATTGATTGAGGGAATGTGAATAATTGTACTAATTTTATGCCGGACCAAACTCTTGCTCTAAAACGATGTATTTTATGTTTTATGTTTAAAAAAAAAATGGGGAAAAAATAAATAAAACTAGTTGCATCCACACCTATTCAGACATTGTACTGAATACAGTGTGGCTTATACTCAGATAAATTGAAATAATTACAGGAGGTTAAATCCCCTGGACTTCTGGATTTGCCATGAATTGGATTGTACGTCTAATCCATATTCAAAAGCAGAAACGAACCCAGGCTGCAGGATGAAATATTCTCCAAACTCCAAAAAGTGCAGACGGAAAAGAAACAAGTGTCGGTTACTAATCGACGTCGACTACAATTCCCAGCAAGCCCCGGAGGAGGGGGGTTTTCGGCTGTTTGTGGAGGCGGGTTTGGAGGCGGGTTTGACTGCTTCGCCTATGTCGGTGCTTCATGGCCGCTGGAGGTTTCTTTGCCGCGGCCAATTGGTGGGATTCCTGAGCTCCTTTGCCCAGGGCTTTTTCGGCAGGAGCGTGCCCTCAGCGACTTCCAATGGCTGGAACTTCGGCACCCTTGAAAGTGTGCATCGTGGGGTCGGGAAACTGGTGAGTGAGAAATGCCATTCGCCTCGGAGTTGGCAGGGCGTCAGCAGACCTTGCACTTTGCTATGGCTGTTTTTTGTGAAAAAATCCCCGCATATTTCATCCCTCCACGAAAACTGACAGCCTCCCTAAACTGCGTGTGGACAGATTTTCGACTAAGCCCTGCTCGGGTGCTGCTTTGTCGGGCAAGTGGGACTTTTGCACTTCACTCTTTTGCAGACGGCTTTAGGGGTTGAAGGTTGCCCTTTCTCCGCTTGATTTGGAGATGTGGCTGTTCCAAGTCAGTCTCTTCGTTAGGAAAGGGCGCTGAGCTTGATTGTCCAGTGATGGCGGTGGCATTTTGCCTCCCAAGAGTTTAAACCTAATGCAGTTATCTACGTGGCATTCTCTCAGCCAGATCCTCCACCTGGATATGCTGGGTCCGGAATGATTGTAGATACTGTCTAACAGGGCCAAAAGTCATCTGACCGGGTGGGGGGGGGACACGGGGACGGGATTTAAAAGCATTTCTCTTGCAGTGTTTGCAGTGCAAGAGAAATGACCTGCAAATCTGTAACTCCAGATTTGCAGGTCATTAAGCGTAAAGTGGAGGAAGTAAAGAGTACAGTGGTGCTACAGGGGAGAAGGAAACCTAGCTCAGGCCAGGCATAAATTGGATGAGGGAAGTGCTGCTCAGAAAGGCCAGGGAAAGAGATTGAGGGATATCTGCCTGAGACAAAGAGCAGGGAAAGAGTCTGTGAACTGAATGTGGGTGTAGATATGCAGGCAGGCCAGGGAAAGAGGGAGTGGGGTAAATGTTTATGTGCAAATGCAAGAAAGCGAGAAAAAGAGGGTGTAGGGCACATGCAAGCAAAGGGAGAAAGGAGAGCATGTCTGTGTAAGCAAATGAAGAAAAGCTGGGGATGGGGAAGACTTAGCCAAGCAACTTGCACTTTTCCTTGCTAGCTTCCCCATTAACTTTGCTTATGAGAAGACTGTGGGGAAGGACACCCACTTCTATCACATGACTAAGGGACACTGCAACTGATCATATGTTCAAGCTAGTTACCAAGCATCCCAATTTTGGTCATGTGATCATGGGGGCCCTGCAACTGCCAGAACTTTGAAGATTAGTAGTTAGAATCTTCATTCCGTGTCAGCATTTGAATAGTTGATGAACGACTGTTCATAACTTCAGAACCACCTGCTTATCCATATCCATTACAAGCCTATTCCTGTTTTTCAGTTGTTTCCAAATGTAAAGAAAACAGCTGTATTCATATGACAGTGAATAAAAAAATAACCAATTTCACTTTAGCTTAGTGTAACAATTGTGACTTGCTTATAGTCCATTGAGCCACATAAATCAAGAAAATTGAGTTACCCTCCTAAAATATAAAGAGATTATTATTATTAATGCAGAATACAGAAAGCTCACACCAAATATGGTAGTTCTCTTGAAAGTATCAAAGGCAAAATTAATTGATTTAAAATCTGAACAATGAATTAGCTTGGAATGCTTTTTGATCTAATTTTCCTTCAATCAGTCTTAATGAACCAACAAGTACTGAATATAGAAATAATAACCATAAAATTCTAAAAAATTGATATCAATTTTTAAAATATTTCTAGACATTATTGGTGAAATTATAATCAGATTGATCATCTTGGTAATGCCCATTTAGTTGTTTTGGTCTAATGTATTTGATGAAATTGGAAAAATTGAATAATTTTGTAAGTTAATTTTGTTGTCAGTTTATTTTATATATATCTCAAAAATTAAAAACAATTGTAACAGCCTAACATTTTTGTTAAGGGGCTAATTACCCTTTCAATATATAGCAAAACATATATTGTTTTCAAAGATGCTTGGAACATCTTTTGTTCAATCAAACATTTGGAAAATTGTACAGGTAGTTCAGTGACTGTTCAGAGTTATGACTGATCTCCCCTGGGCTACTTATCATCAAAGTTAGCTCCCCTGCAGTCATGTGATCCAGTCTAGGTTCTTGGCAACTGTCCCACATTCATGGCTTTATCAGTGTCCCATAATCTACTTTCGGTTTCCAGCAAAAACTACCCATTGTAGAAAATGGATTGCCTTAATGACTGCAGCATTCACTTAACCAATATAGTAATTCACTTAACAACTGCTGCAAAAGTCATAAAACCAGGGACAGTCAAGGGGGACCCCCTTAAAATTCAGGATGAGCAGTCTTACCCCTGTAATTGCAGGCTCAATTACAGTCATAAATCAAGGACTTTCTATTGTGTTCAGTGGAAATGAGAGAGAAATTAGGAGTGCCTATGGTACTTTAGGAGATTAGTAAAAAGGGTTTTTGTTTACCTGTTTAAGCCTCCATTGGTTGAATTTGTCAACAGTTTTCTAAACATTTGATAACATAGGAGGCAGGTTCCGTCTTCCTAATGAATAAACATTTTGTCATCAGACTGCCAGATGTTGAGCAGATTTAATGTCCAATGCTAATCATTGATGAAGGGAGTTCCAAAATGTATTTAAATTACATTTTTGCATTTATTAGGTTTTTTTCCCATGGAAAAATTGATATTTTACTGTGTTGATTAATGTACTATCAGAAAGAGAAACACATTAGGTTCTACACTCTATTTGAATAAATTCAGCAATTAATAGAAAGGTTTTTTTTGTCTGTCTTTCTGACATTCAAATGCTATTACAAAATACTTAAAACTTCACTATTGTCTTAGTTCTGCTGATGTATCTTCTGCAACATAAGCTGATGAAGATCATGTAAACTGTTTAATATAATCAGTGGTTTGTTAGTTCTGACTTTGCTGCTTCAAAGACATAAGATTAAGTGAGTCCAAATACACATTTGCAAAAAAAAAAAAAAGTATGTGTTTCTATTTGTAGATGTTCCTGGAAGTAAAACTAGCAGAATTCTTTCAACACTCAGGAAATGGAACAATCTGTTCTTTTACAATTCTGGTTCCCTTTGTTAGCTGTTAATTGGATCAGGAAGTACAATAAATTACTTTACAAGGGAAGCACCATTGTAGTGATTTGATTTCCAGGCTGGAAATCAAGAGACTCTGAGTTCTAATCTTGTTTAAGACACAAAGGCAGCTAAGTGATCTTAGGCCAGTTTCTCTGAGTTCAGGGAAAGAGGCAATAGCAACCTATTTCCAAAATCTTTCCAAGAAAACCACAGGGACTAGACCAGCGATTCACCAAGAGTCAACACTGGACAGAAATACTGTACAGAACAAAATAGGGGAGCTTTTTCTGCAAAAAGAAAGGTGAAAGAGTTGATACTTGAAATCTAGGGCCCTGATATTGTAGGCAAGCCCATTTTTTTATTATGTTGATTGTAGAGTTTTTATTGTTCTTTATTATTTATATTTTGAATTATTGGATATGCTTTTATTTTGTCAGCCATCCAGAATCATGTATATGAGATGGATAGCCACCAGGGGGCAGTATACACTTTTTTCTTCTGTTCAATTGTTTGATTCTCAGAGATTGTCTGTACAAGTCCCTGCAGTTTTCTTGACTAGATTTTTCAGAAGTAGTTTGCAACTGTCTCCTTTCTAGGGCTCAGAGATGGTGACTGGCCTAAAGTCACCCATTGACTTTTTGCTCAGATGCTCATGGTTTCTCAGTATCTAGCCTGATGTCTAAACCATTACACCAAACTGGCTATAGCATACATTCATTTTTATTCTATTTGAAACTTGTTGAGTTTAAATGGCCATTGATGTTACTGTGGGGCTGAAACAGGAATGGGACTGTGGCATTTGAGATGTCTATAAACAGTGCACTAGTTTTAGGAGCTTTCCTGGCACTGGAGCTTAATGGTGCTGTCTAGAGTTCAGTTCCCAATGTAGAAATTATGTAAAACCTCATAAAATAAAAGCATGGCATAAGATAACAACAGTATATCTCTTTAAAAGGAAGGTAGATGGTATATATCATTATAAAGATAGACTCTGCTATAAAAACCATGTGATGATTTGTAGATAGAATACATGAAAGGGAGATGTGTATGACAAGATTAATGTATATTGAGCATAGCATAGGACATTTGCCTTGTGAATTTATTAATTTATATGTTGCTTCGTGGCCTCAGAGAAATACTCTCTGTGCTTAGCAAAGTAGTTTGAATGAGCTCTACCACCAGGACATTTCTCTTTCAATGATAGCCTACAATTAAAAATTATATGAATTAATTGGAGCTATTATCTGATGATTACATTTCTTCCTTCCTCATTCTTAAATTGCATATTTTATAGTTTGCATATTTTGTATATTTTATAAAATGTATATTTTATAAAGCATATAATTATTATTTTTTTTCAGGGGATCTGCTGTGGCTAAAATAATAGGCAACAATGTAAAAACAATGCAGAAGTTTGCTTCTACGGTGAAAATGTGGGTTTTTGAAGAAACTATTAATGGGAGGAAACTTACAGATATCATAAATAATGACCATGAGAATGTGAAATATCTTCCTGGATATAAACTACCAGAAAATGTGGTAAATATTGGAACGGATATATCTCAATACACTTATCTTGATATCACATGACATACAATTTCTGAAAGTAAGAAAATTCTTTTGGAAATTTCTGGTCTTTCGTGAATAAACCAATTATGGGAAAATTGGCTACCTATCCCCTCACTGAATCTCAGAGTTGGCTTTATTATTTTAAATTAGATATCTTTCCAGAGATTGAAGAAAATAAAGCAGTTTTCATTGACATGTATATATTGTTCTGACCTAGGCTTCCCAAGAGCATGAAGCAGACTCCTTGTCCTGACAAAAACCCCTTTTTATTAAGTTACTGTGAATTCCTCTCATTCACATCCAGCAAAGTCTTTCAAGGGAGAACTTACAGTCACAGACCTTATCTGAATTAGAGAGCTGCCAGGCCGATATCTTCAAAACTTGGCAAGAACTCTCTGAAAGTCACGAACCAATTAAGCGAACTAATGATCTCCTGCAAACTCCCCTCCCCTTTCGCTCCTCTTTATTCCCTATGGGAGGGGCCATTCACCATCCACCTGTGGCTTTACTCCTGAGTCGACCCTTGTTCCTTAGCTGTTCCCTTCTCCTGGCAGCTCCGCACATGCATACACTGGGAACAGGCTCCAGCTGTTCTTCTGCCCCACTGATGTCCAGCTCTGAAGGCATCTGACAACTGTCAGATGGCCCTGGCCCCATCTCTGCCTCCAACACAGAGCACTCATCAGAACCTTCCCCAGACTCCAGGACTGGCCCATGTTCCTCCCCAATCTCCTCACTGTCTGAGTCTGCCACCAGCTCCACTGGCCACTGGTGGGCCACAACATATGTTAAATTAAATAAATGAAGAGCCTGTAGTACAGTGGACTAAAGCACTGTTATTAACATCTGCTGCTTGCAGTTACTGCAAGTTCACACCAGGCTCAAGGTTGACTCAGCCTTCCATCCTTTCAAAGATAGGTAAAATCAGGACCCAGATTGTGGGGGCAATAAGCTGACTTTGTATAAATATACAAAGTATGAAGGCTATTGCTTAACGCATTGTAAGCCGTCCTGAGTCTCCGGAGAAGGGCGGCATATAAATTAAAGCAAAAAAAAAAAATAAATTCAAAAGAACAATTGCCATCTACCACAAAAAGTCAAACATAGAATGTATTCCTTTGAAGAGTTTTTCTAATAATTTACTTAGAATGCTATGGTTATACTTTTAGCATAGCTTTTATTAAAATACTTTAAATCTATAATAAATAATTTAAGGAAAAGATATAGTAAATCTCAAAGAGAAAAGAAAGGAAAAGAAAAAAGAGAAAAGAAAGAGAAAACAGAATAGAAAACATGAAAAATATACAAAATAAATAGTTTGGAAGCATCTTCTTTTTTGTGTGTGTCAACTGCCTTTATTATTATTTTTAATTTAATATAAATAGAGCAACATATTCAAAATCCATAGAAACAGTGTGTTGTCTGGTTACAATTTTTTTGAGTAATACTCATTATAGTAATAATAATGTTCTCTAGTAGTAATCTCGTAACGACAGTGCTTTTCACTCATAATACATATTAATTATTAATATTAATCAAAATTAATAAGTTAAAATAATCAACCCTAATAGTAAAATTAATCTTTCTCTTGTGTTTTTAAAAGTTCTGTTTCTCTTATTTAACCATTGATAGAACAGATCCCATATCTCAAAATATTCAGTGTTTTCCTTTTCTTTAATTTCAAGTGTTAGTTTATTCATTTCTGCACATTCTAAGACTTTTGTTATTATCTTTTCTTCTGAAGGAATCTCCTCGCCCTTCCAATGTTGTGCAAGCATGATTCTGGCCGCCATTAATACATCTACTATTAAATATACATTCCTTTTACTGTATTTTTCTGGGTTAATGCCCAACAGAAATATTTCCGGTTTTAAATCTATATATTCCTTTATCATTTTTTCTATCCAGTGTGTATTTTAGCCCAATACTTTTTTGCTTTCCACCACATGTCCACCACATGTGGTAGTATGAGCCCGAGGTTTGGTTGCACTTCCAACACTTGAGAGACATATTCTTAAACATTTTAGCTACTCTTGCTGGAGAGAAGTGCCATCTATAAAACATTTTGTATAGGTTCCCAATTATAATCAAACATCTCTTTCTAAGGTTACATCATATTTCCATTCTATTCACAACCTATTGTTTCTAAATCTTTCATCAAAACCATGTTACAAAATTATTTCTTTTTTACACAAAAAGTCTAGAAGGCTTTGGTTATAAGTATATTCCAAATTTTGTTGTTTCTTTGTATTTATAAATTGCTACTATGGTCAATTGGATATATAGATATTAATATCTTGGCTATTCAATTATTCATTCTGGAAATCTACAATTTTCCAGTTCCATCTGCTGTAATACGATTTATCAACACATTTTGCAGGGGTATGTATTTTTTTTAAACTATAATTTTCAAATGGTTTTCTTTTGACCTTACTATATGAATTTGCTATTTCTATTAATTAAATGCAATTTAAAATAAATAATAGTGAATTGGGTATCGTTGAACATGATTACATATTTCTTCTTCTTTTTTTCTTTCCCAATTAATTTTGTTTTCAGGTTGCAGTCCCAAATCTGACTGAAGCTGTGAAAGATGCAAACTTGTTGGTTTTTGTCATTCCCCACCAGTTCATTTATAAAATCTGTGATGCAATTACTGGGCATTTAACAAAGCAAGCTGTTGGTATAACTCTTATTAAGGTACAGCAAATAAGATACAAATGTTTATTTTTGTGTACAAAATGATACTCTAAATTATTTACTTATGTATTCAATTTCTGTAACTGTTCTTAATTGAATCATGGAGTACAACTCAACTAAAATCATTCTGGGGGGCTTATTAAATAGCTATTCAATAAAGGTGCAGATAAAGATTTCTATAGAAATATAAACTAGAGGGGACTTCCGGTCTGGAGCCGCGACGCCACAGTTGGGGAATTAGCGGGCTATAACGAGCCCGTGGAAACCCCAACTGACAAACCGCTGTCCGACTGGTCTTCGGGCCGACCCCCATCTCGTAGGGATGGGGTGTGAAGAGAAGCGCCTCGGAGGGCCAAGAGGAACAGGCAAGTTCCTCGGAGGCCAGAGGGAATCCTCAAAGTCGGCGGCGGGGGTAGGCAGCCATGGCGGCTGCCACAAAGCCGCAGCAGACTGGGACACAAGATCGTGCAGGAGGAAGAAGAAAGATCGAGCGTTTCGAAGCTGGGTGAGTGACACCAACCCAGGCAAACAACGGGATTACTTGGAGTATTTTTTAAAATAAGACCCTAATCTTAAACAGCAGCTACAGATCCATGGGGCTTGAAGATTTAAAAGAAAGGGGGGGGGAAATGGAGACCCAAGACAAACTTTGCATTAATTAATTTGGCTTAGAAGAATTTATTTTTAATAATTTGGAAAATTGGAGTCTTTTTTTGTTTTTTTGTTTTTTTGAGTGGATTGAAGAAATGTTTCTTTGGGAATCTAAACCTGTGAAAGTTAACGAAGTTAATGAAGATTGACAGACGGAGGGCTACAAAATTACCATGAAGTCTGCGGTGACTAAGCAGGAGAGTGGATTGAAGAGATTTTACTTTCTGCTTGGAAAAGAAACATCCTAAATGGCTTTCTACTTTGGATTATTATGATTACTTTGGAATTAACATTAGACTAATGGATTTTGGAAATTATTATCCTGTTCTGGGTGATTTTAAGAAGAAAGAAGAAAGATCTTGGACCTTTTCTATAATGGAAATTTACAGATTTAGCAAAAAGAAGGTATGGCGCATGAACACAAGACAGGAAGTGGATACATCATGCTTGGAGCAGACATTATAAGAGCATTAAAGTGATACATAGAACTTTTAATTTGAATAGATGAATTTTGAAGTGGAACATGAGGACAGACAGGAAAAAGAAGATTTAAACTAAATAGATTTAAACTAAACGTAATTAAATTGAAATGTAATGCTTAAAAGCCTAAAGGTATAAAAGGTTTTTTTTTTTTTTCTGGATTAAAACAGGAAGGTTTTTGGAATAATAAAGAAAATAACAAATGGCAATCAAAATAGGGATTTATATACAAGTGATTAAAAATTACAATGAGAAGTGTATACTAATGTGAGATAACTTTAAGAAAGCTTATTATTTGTTGTAATATGCTTCAACTATATTCTGCAAACAAAGTTAGACTGGTTGATTGATTAACATATTATTAAATGAAACTATGAAATACACAGATGATAGAGATAAATTGTGATTTAATTCAACAAATACTGGAAGTGATGATTACTATGAAATATAATGAGAATTAATTTTGATAAATATGCTGAGACATAGAGATCAAATAGATAACTATGCTGTAAAGGAAAATTAAAATAATGAGGTGAAGGATACTAACTAGATAAGAGTTAGAGACTCGGAGGGAGTAAGTGGGAAAATAATTAAAATGCTGGAAATCAGCCAAACAATGGCAGGAGAGTTGGAGGAGACTATGCTGGAAATCAGCCAAACATAAAATGCTGGAAATCAGCCAAGCAATAGGAGGAGAGTTGGAGGAAAATATGATGGAAATCAGCCAAACAATGGAAGGAGTTTTGGAGGAGATTATGCTAGAAATTAGCCAAATACAATATGCTGGAAATCAGCCAATAACGTTGGGAGATAGGGAGGAGATAAGATTGGGAATAATCTCAAAAGAGTTGATAACTTGGAAAAGAATAAGTAATATGTTCTTGTGATAAAACTGTAATATGTGGGATATCAAATTGGAAAGTTCAAGATATTTTGATTTGATAAAAAGAGTCAAATAATTAAAATGTTGATAAAATTGTGTTTTATAAATTTTAACAAAATGGAGTTGTATTGAAATTGAACTTGATAATTCTGGTGATAAAATTGTAAGGTATATAATTAGAATAAGAGACTAGATATTGTTAATAATTATTTGGATATTGATGAGATATAGATACAGAGATAATGAGTTAAAATTTAATTTGAAGCTTAAACTGTATTGATATATTAGATTTGTTTAGATGAAAGTGGTAGAATTTTATGTTTAAATTTGTTTTTTTTTCTGTTTTAAATTTTTAAAAGATGTAATGGAAAAGTGGAATAGAGCGTGTTAAAAGAATGTAAGCATGTTAACCATCTTTGACTGGATCGAAACTCTGTTCTTGAAAGTTATATTTTATGTTTATGTTTGGTAAAAAATAAAAAATATTTACAAAAAAAAAAAAAGAAATATAAACTAGGGAATCTTGGTGGTAAAATGTCACGGATAGCATCAGGAATACCTCTTGGCCATAATGATTCAAACTATGAGCTGAAGTCTCATTCACCCAGCCCACAGAAGCACCGAAGGGCAGTCCTTTCATGTTAAGAGAGTAGGAAGGTGGAAAGTAGAATATATTCAGGAGCAGCCAGAAGCTGGGTAATAGATCAATCCAACATATGCTCAGGAAGAGGCTGACATTCCTGTAGTTATATTCCCACTTGTATATAATTTATTTATTTAAAACATTGCTATAGTTACCCATTCTATATTCATCTCTGGGTAGCTCCCAATCACATCAAAACAACATTAAAAAACTATACTATAATTATAATAACTAAATGCAATAAAAACTACAAAAGCCCGGTTTTGTTGTGTGGTCATTTATTATTAGAATTGCTGTCTTTGACCGCCAAACCATAAATACTTTGCTGTGAAATGTTCTACATTTTTGTTGTACATTTTTTTTGAAAGCTAACTTTCCTTTTACTCAGATAATGAATGCCTACTTGCCCAATGCACTAGGGCTACTGGTATGAACTTGTGTTGCTTTTGGCCTTGGACTGTAATCATCTCCTGCTGAATTTACAACTTTAATGTTGCTTAGCTAACTGATTTCAGCCTGAGGGATCCAAGACAAGACATATCTAAGTTTTATTTGGCTTCAATTTTGGAGCTACATGTAAAATCATCAACTACTACTCCAATGTATACGTGAATTTCTTTTAATCTCATCATTGGATTCTAAACAATTTTTAAAGAAAAAAAATAATAGTTTTGAGTTGCCAAGTCTCCCTTGAATCATGAGCAGCTACTTCAGAAAGGAAAAATTGGCTCCCACCTACTACAAGGCAGATTCCACAATTTTCCTTTGGTCAGAGTTCAATTCAACCTAAAGTGGAAGATCTGATAGATCATTGGTATAGCAAAGCAAAAACTAGATTTGAATTAATATTTACATTTTAAATTTACTGTAATTAAAACTAAATATAGTCGGTGTGATTATTTAAGAATATTTTTATGTTAAAAATTAGTTTAGTAGTAGCTCCTTGAAGTTTCTAGAGCCATAACTTTCAGAAACCCTGGATGTTCCTATATGTCATGAAGATTGTACACCTCTTTATTTCAGTTATTCAATAGATTTGTTTAGATTCTGGTTTTTATTATATCATGGTGACAACTCTGCATTTATTTCACAAATTATATTAATGGGTTTTGGGAAAGGAAAGATTGGTATAAAACCAAGTTGTAGTTTTCCAACCTGTATTTTTTAGCTGAAATAAATAATCTGGAAAATGTTTTCTTTCTTTCTACATTTTGCTGCTTTTCACTAGATTTTAATTGAGCCCTAACTGAAAAATTAGGTAGGCTCAGAAATCGCTATACTTTTGCCAGCCACGGTGTTCTAGTAAAATAATTCAATATGTTTCACCTTATTTTTAAATAGTGATTTTAAAATGTTGAAAGGAAAAAATGCTAAATGTTGATTTAGAACAGGACAGAAATGTGTGTAAATCAGGATCTAAATTCTAAAGAACCGTGCTTAAAATATATCATAAACTGAACATGTCTGATTGTAAGCAGACACTGCATCAATAAAGATTCGATAACTCTGTATCAGTAAAGATTAGATTACTCTGCGATGAAAAATGCCATTGTAAAGACCATCCAAATCAACTGTAATCACTGCTTTCCTATATTTCTTGCAGGGTATAGATGAAGGCCCTGAAGGACTCAGACTCATCTCTGATGTAATTCGGGCAAAAATGGGGATAGATATCAGTGTGTTGATGGGAGCAAACATTGCCAATGAAGTAGCTGCAGAGAAATTCTGTGAAACCACAATAGGTAAATTTCAAAAAATAACATGATGCTTTTCAATAAATATCTTCATTTCAGTTTTGCCCAACCCTCAGTATCTCCTGCATTTGTTCATATTTGGTATGTAATCCTATCCATTGATTAAGTAGGTGTCATTGAACCTAGTGATGCTGAAATTTATAATATGATATTGCACATAATCCTTGGTAACAAGAGTAAGTAGCAAACATTTCGTTTGTGAGGAAAGAAAGGATATTCCCACCTGTTATTCTCGTTTAAAAAGAAAGAAATTCCTAAAATTCCAGCTGTGTTTTTAAAAATATCAAGAGAGTTGCTATTCATAACATTTGGGTTGGTTCAGAAATATCTACAGCAACGATCGTTGGCTTCAAAATGACAAATGCAACTGGGTAATCAAAGCTCTGCTCCTTGTAACTGACCACTGCATGCATTATATAGGTGTAAAAAGAATCAGAGTTTTGATTGCCAAATCATGCCTCCCATTTTAAAGCCAATGATTATTGCTGCAGATGCCTCTGCCACTGTTCTTCACTGCTAGTGCAATAATCTTTTGCTCTCAATAAAGTTGCATTTTGTTTTTCATTTCAGTAACATTGTAAAACCAGAGAAATGATTGAAGCCTGGAAAAGGGGCCCTTGTCGGTTAATAGGAGTGCTGATTTACTACCAGTTTATCAAGTACTTAGGAGTCGAGGGCTTGGCCATACAAGGAAACAGCAGCCAATCACCAGCCACCAACAACCAATCAACCAATAGGAAGGCACCACATAAATATGACTCACAGAATAGCTGAAAACACATATTCAAGTAGAGAGAAGTTCCCTGAAGATGGGCATGAGTCCAAAAGTTCAGCAGAGTAAATCTCTGGTCCTGGTGACCAACCCAGATTCTATCTTAAAGCAGATTTCTTCAAATACCTCCAAGTATTTTGGGACTATAATTCTAGAATGTTCAACCGGAATTTAAATCTTGGAAGTTGTTGGGCCAAGGCCTCCAGAGAATATCAGATTGAATTATATGAGAAATAGTGTAATCCAAGATAGGTCTACTTAAAATGAAATTCTTTAGAGGTTCAATGAATCTAACTATCAGACAAGCAGTAGCAATACGATAGCTTAACATATACCAAGGCCTTCCAAATTCTGCATGTGTTTTTGTCTTATAGCTGAGAAATCGTGTCTTATGTATGTGTCTTATGTTCTATCTCAAGTATGCCTGTTTTGTCAGTAGTGTGATTTGATAAGATAAATCAGGATGCTAGAGGTATGAAATATGTATTGCCTTGGCTGATTCTGTATTAGCCAAAGGGTAAATTGGTTTTCTCTGTATTTTATTCGCCATAATACACAAATACAAAATAAAGAGGCCTTTATTAGTAAGAACCTACATCAGATGCAACCACAAATAAAATATGACTAGACAGCATAGAATTGAACATATATACAAGAATCATCAGGTGCTAACCTCTATAGATTTTCCCCAAAGGTGCTTTTCCAAAAGGCAACTGGACTTTTTTGGGTTTTTTCCTTGAAAACATTTTATTTGTCATCCAAAAAGCTTTTTCCGTTCTGACTCTTCTGAATGCCCTTGGATAAGAAGTGAAATGTTTTCAAGGGGAAGTCCAGTCCAGTTACCTTTTGGAAAAGCACCAGTGGTGGGTTGCCCCTAGTTTGGTCTGGTTCGCAAGAACCGGTAATAAAACTGGCAGAGGCTCCGCCCACTGACCTGGACATCATCAGGAAGTTTATGCGCATGCACAGAAGTGAGCGCGCATGCGCGGTCCCATTGCGAACCGGTAGTAAAGGTAAGTAGAACCTACCCCTGAAAAGCACCCTTGGAACAACCATGACCTGGATGATTGAGAATCCCCAATGACCTTTAGAGATTTCATCGTTCATTTCTCATCTCTCAGTAGAATTCTATTTTAACCATTCTGATATGAATTAACAATTGCTCTGGAATCAGGAAGGATTTGGAAATACAGCATGCTAAAGATTCAATAGGTTCATTTTTAATTGTGTTGTGTAAAAGTTTTCTTTTGCTTCCTGCTTGGAAATGCAGAGATGATAACTAAATTATATTAGCAATTTTTCCCCTTTCCTCTCCCTACTTCCCAACAAAAACAGGGTGCAAAATCTTGGAAAATGGCCTCCTTTTCAAAGAACTTCTACAGACTCCAAACTTCAGAATAACTGTTGTGGATGATGCTGATACAGTTGAGATTTGTGGTGCTCTTAAGGTACTTTTTTGTTTGTTTGTTTGTAAAGATGGCATTAAAAAACTAAATTGCCTCCCACCTACTCATAAGACTAGAGAAACACTGGCTGAGAAGTTTGTTACCAGAACTGATTTCAGTGTTTACTTCCTCTGCAATCTTCGGTAACATGTTGGTGCCAAAACTACCTTATTGGATTAATGCAAAATTTCTCTCAGCGCACAGGCACTTACATCTTCTCGTTTCAAAAGCACTTTGAAATAGGAGTTTTAGATTTTTATTATTGGTTGGTTTAATGGTAGGCAAAGAACTAGGACAGCTTTTCCCTTTTTAGCCAATTACAATCTATCTCATGGATAAAGTTGGAATTGGACTGAGTTAATGCAAAATTCACATAGAATTAAGATTGGTAGCCAAGATTTGTAACCATGGTGAATTAAGATTTTTATATCTTTGTTTATAATCCTAATGACACTGAATGGTTTCTCATATTGCAACACATCTTTTCATCTCTGAATGGGTTTCCAGACAAGATACAAGGCACTGAAACTTATAATTCTTAGAATTTCAGCAAACATGGCCACTGGGATATAATTCATTACATAAAGGTGATAGACAACTGGTTTGTGCCCTATTTAAATGCATTCCCATCAAAGCAAAGAGTGCTGATAAAATGTAAGATTAATTCTGGAAATTGGTAATTGTTTAAGAGTCTTCACTATTATCATACAAATCAAACTTACTTTCAGAAATCAGAATTTCCTTTCTTCGAGATAATTCAGTTACTTTGCCACCAGATAATACTAGTGATTTATACATAAGGACATACATAAAGGGTAGCTTATCAGTTTAGAAATGTGCCTGCCCAGAAAAAAACCCCCAAAAATGGAGTGGGCATCCTATCGGTTAAAGAGGATGATATGAACAAACGTAACATGGTTCCTGTAGGGCACAGGTGTCAAACTCGATCGCCTCACATGATATATTCTGACGTATCACGATGTTTTTTGCCTTTGTGGAGCTGGGGTGAGCGTGGCTTGTGTGTGCTTCATCTGGCCCGTAGGCTACTTTCCCCTACTTTAGAGGAAATGGCTTTTCCCAGCAGATCATTAATGAAAGATATCAATGATATTAATATCATTTTGCGCTTGTAACATGTTTTCAAAATTCCAAATTTGCTTGCTGGCACTCAATCACCTTTTGTGACTTTCTGACAAACAAAGTCAATGGGGAAGCCACATTCCCTTAACAACCGTTTTAGTAATTTAACAACTGCAATGATTTATTTTAACAACTGTGGCAAAAAAGATCGTAAAATGGGACAAAATTCACTTAATAAATGTCTTAACTTAGATACAGAAATTTTAGGTTCAATTGTGGTTGTAAGTCGAGGACTCTGTGTGTGGGTGTGTGCATGCATATGTGTGTGTGTATGTTGTGAACTTTAAATTTATGTGGCATGCATATAACTGTAAGTTCAATGAGTTCTTCCATCATCCTTTGCCTTTTCCATGTCATTTGTTTAGAACATAGTGGCAGTAGGAGCTGGCTTCTGTGATGGTCTTCGCTGTGGAGATAATACCAAAGCAGCTGTCATTAGGCTTGGATTAATGGAAATGATAGCTTTTGCCAAAATCTTCTGCAAGGGGCAGGTCTCAATTGGTACTTTCCTGGAGAGCTGTGGGGTTGCGGATTTAATCACAACCTGTTACGGTGGCCGAAATCGGAGAGTGGCTGAAGCATTTGTTAAAACAGGAAAGGTACATTACTTGTAGTGTTAGGGATACTTTCTCTCAACCAATGAAGCTAACATATTTGGAATGATTCTTTTGTGACTGTATTAGAGGGTAATAAGGTACATTTTTGCACTTAGTTATAACTTATATTATAGAAACATAAACCTCAATAACTCCAAACTTACTTTTTTAAAAATTTCTAAACAGTACTGAAATTACAGAAGAGGCCAGTTTCCTTTGTTTTTATAATGAATTTCTTAGTAAATATTTTAGAGGACTCTTAAATTGTATTAAAATGAAAATAAGAAGAAAACAAATCCCACCAGGATTTGTGGATTAGTGATCATCCTGAATCAGAACTTCTAAAAATGCCTCAGGCAATAACTAATTTATTTAGAGTAATAGTAGAGCTAGGCAAAGTCATAACCACAATGCCAGTGTATTAGCAGACTGTGCTAATAGCAGATTAGCTGCTCATTATAATAAGAGTAGGACTTGCTAATTGCTTGGTTTGGTAGATTGGTAAAGGGCTAATCAACTAAGAAGTAGGATTTCGATCTGAAACTGTTAGCAAACAGTTGATATGAAAAGTATTAATCACATTCTTATCTATATCAGTGAAACTTAGAAATACTTATTTTTAACATTCAGAGTATTGAAGAACTGGAGCAAGAGATGCTGAATGGGCAGAAACTTCAAGGACCACAGACTTCTGCAGAAGTGTATCGCATTCTTCAGCAGAAAGGTTTGGTGGAAAAGTGAGTGAGTCACTAATCTAATGATTTCTTCTCCCTATTTTCAACCCCAAATACCTCCCAAATCTGCTGTACCTTTTGGATCTTTTGAGACTGTATTATGAAGTAGGGATTCTTCTACTCAGAGTGTCTGCTAGAACTATGGTACTAATGATTACTGAGCTATATATTTAAATGATCTCTCAATAATATTAAAATACAGTCTCATTCTGCATGTTTTGACAGAAAATCAAACAATAATTTTATCTAGTCCTTTTAAAATTGTCTGCATGTTTAAAAATGTTTGCACACTTGATTACCTGAAAATTCAAAAAGTGTTTATCCTAACTTCCTGGAATAGTTTTCTTGTAGTTTACTTTCTTTAATCATAAGCAATATACCAATTTGTTTAATTGGCAGTTCCTTTTAGGAGTTTCCTTTATATTTTCTTCCAACCTTTGCTTCTCTGTTTTATTGTAAGTTAGTAATAAAAAATAAAACAGAGAAAAAAAGACTTATAGTTCACAAAGAGGTTCAAAAACTCCAACAGAAATTGATTTTCAGTTCTTATGACTTGTGAAGTTCTTATGATTTGAAAACAGAAATGGTTGGAAAATTTTTGACTTTCCTATAAAGCAGTGATGGGGAGCATTCCTGAGCTGAGTTGAAGTCCACAAGTCATAAAAGGGCTATAGTTACCGACCTCTGCAAAAAGATAAACCAGTCTTGAAATTTTTGATATCTGGTTCCCATTTTTAACATATCCATAACAGGGACAAATAGGATAAATATACATATGTTGTTACTTTTTTTAGCATTGATCCTGCATGGTTGCAGGGCCCACTTGTTTTTGCACTGAACTCGTCTAGTTCTTACAAGCAAAGCTATCAAGGCATGAGGCAAGAGGGATTTTGTTAATCACAGAGCAGAAGCCGATTTGGGCTGAGAAAGAGTGACTTGTCCAAAGTCATTCAGCTGGCTTCCATGCTAAAGGGAGGACCAGAATCTAGGTCTCCCCATTCCCAACATGTTGGCACTCAATGAATACATTGTAAAATGATCAGGTAACCTTTGCCTGCAGAATGCAGTGAAGGAAAAAGAAGATACGTTTCTCCTCTAAAATTTTTGTGGATTTTTTTTAATGCACTGTACTTTGTTAATTTAGGGACTAGTCCATTTAAATATATTTGCCTCAACAGAAAAAGGAGATACAAATCAAATAAATAAATGGTATCTCAAATTATTTTGGTCATCAGAACATTTAAAAAGTTAAACACCAATAGCTGTAATTGTCTCCCCTAGTAAGATGATTGCTTGTCTTATTTTTTAGGTTTCCACTATTTACTGCTGTTTATAAAATCTGCTATGAAGAAAAGCCTGTCCAAGAAATGATCTCCTGCCTCCAAAGCCATCCAGAGCATATATAAAGCACTTTATATTGTCACATTTCCTGCCTTTTCATACTCATTCATGAGTTCAAATTAATGTCATTGGCTTGCCTACTCCATGAAGAAATTGCAGAAATACATGTGTCTATGGATTTCTCTAAATTATGTATTATACAACTCCTAGAATACTAGCTGTTATTTTTAGTGGCTAAGATTTAGTTGGCTTTCAAATATACTGTGCAGAACTAGCACACTCCTCAAACTTCCTAATCCTCTTTCCCTATTTGAAATGCTTGATGTTCTTTTAAGCATAATTCTAATGCTTCCTTTTCAAGCAGGGATTCATCTAGACTTCCCAATGATTCAAGGGGAAGATGCAATTAGGGCAGAAATAACGTACTACAGTACTCCAAAACTTTATTGGACTAAAGATCCTATCAGTGTGCATTAATAGCATCAAGGAGAGCTTTAATTGTTGATTTCTGGAGCCCTATAAATTGAGCACATCATATCAATATTACCTAGAAACTGTTTGCTAAACTATCGTAAGCTTCAAGAACGTGCATTCAATTTTTTTCAAGTCAGATTTGCACATCTTGTATGGCACAGATTGCCATTTACTGAGAATTACTTTGGTATCATTTAATTAGTGGGAAGTGGCTTTAAGATTTTTAAAACTTAGATTTTAAAAATAACTTATTCTTAAAAGTAATTTAAAGAAATGAAGATTTTTCAAATGTACTTTTAAAATGATTGTGGCCTCTTTTTTTAAAAAAAAAATACTGCCTTGCCAATCCAATAAATGTATGGAAGTACAGTTCCTAAGGACTCCCGCTCTATCAGGATGTGATGGGAATTGTAGTCCTAAGTGATAAGATTGCTGTTTAAAGCAAAAATTTGCCCTCCCAATATTTATCTCTTCTCTAATTCAGCTTTCTCCATTTTCTCTGCCTAAACTAAGAATTTAAGGTAACAAATCAAAACTTTTTGATCTAGCTGTGATGTTTTAACATCACACATTTTTAAGCAAAGCATAATCCGGTGGATTTATATATGCAGCTCCAAAGCTGCTCTTATCCTAGCTGAATAATATTAAGGTGATGATATAGGCATATGCATGAAGATGAAGCATAGCTGTGTGAAAGTTTTTCCATAATATGTTACCAAGACTGCAACCCATTATCACTCAGGTTGGCCTGCTGCCCAGAAGTTCTTTCAGGTGACATTTAACAAGTAATCTGCTGTCATGCTCTGATGTGTCAAAACTGTGAAGCTCAATTGAGTTTGGTATAGAATCTTTGTTTCCTCAGCATATTGTTTGTCCATTTGTGGGATTAAATTAGAAAGAGCCAAAGAGTAAGGTTCTGACATGGGTGTACAGCTTTTTCACTGAACTAACAACTGCATGTGTGCTTTGTGTTTACACTATCCAGCAGTCCAGTGCTTGAGACACAGAATCAACATATACCAGCCTTTAACCACCTGGAGAGTGACAAACCAGTAAAAACCTGAAAAGCGTGGTCTCCACACATTTGAATTCTACCCACTTGGGAAGGCTAGTGCAGATAACTTAAGAGGAGTTGTTCTGATTATATCCAAAGTGAATATACTACAAAACATAACTATTTTAGCTGTTTTTATTTTGGTGCCTTTTTTTTGTTTCTGTTCCAATTATTTTTTGAGTTGCCTTTGGAAATCCATTTAGCAGGAGCCCATTTGTTAGGTATGAATGTTTAGAATGGGAATAAGATATTTTTTTTAAAAAAAATGACAAAAATCATGTTGGTTAAGTAAATAATAGTCTGATTAACAAACTATGTAAAGCTATCCTCTCAATTGCTGCCTTCACATCTGTGGAATTACTGCATCTGTCATTTGTGACCAATATGGGTAGTCCAGTACTTCTGGAAGGCATTTGATTGGGGAAAGCTGACCTAACGTATATGAAATTAATTGTGTGTGACTACTAGTCTTCTTGATTATTATTAAGCTAAAATTAATACCTTGTCTTAGAATAATAGAATGATAGGGTGGAAAGCAGTAGTGGGTTTCACTTAACTTCGCTACCGGTTCGGAACTATGAGTGTGTTTGCTCACACACAGCGCTTCTGTGCATGTGCAAAACCTTATGCGCATACGCAGAGCGTTCATGATATCTGGCGGGTGGGTGGAGTCTCCCGCCACCACTACTGGTTTGCCCAAACCAGGGCGAACCGGTAGAAACCCACCACTGATGGAAGGGACTCCATTGGTTGGAGGTCTTCTACTCCAGCCTCCTGCCTCAGACAGGACTCCTTATGCCATCCCAGACAAATGGTTGTCCAATTTTTTTCTTGAAAATATCCAGTAATGGAGCACTCATAACTCTAGGAGGCAAGCTATGCCATTGACTAATCACTTTCACTGTCAGGAAAGTCCTTACTTACAGATTGGAACTTCCTCTGAAGAGCTCCTACCCACTGCTTTTTGCTCTGCTCCCAGATGTTATGAAGAATAAATTGAAGCCCTCTTCCCCATGACAACCCTTGAAGTATTAGGAGATTGCTATAATAATAATAATAATAATAATAATAAAATAATAATAATAATAATAATAATAATAATAATAATATAATAATAATAATAATAATAATAATTATTATTATTATTATTATTATTATTATTATTATTATTTTATTTCTATACCGCCCTTCTCCCGAAGGACTCGGGGCGGTGTACAGCCAATTTAAAAACACAAGACACAACAATGATTAAAAATTAAAATAATTAAATAGATTTGGCCAATTTAAAACCCCAAAAATTTAAAATACCCCAATTTAAAATTATTATGTTGATAGCCCGGCCTGGCGGAACAACAGGGTCTTCAATGCGCAGCGAAACACCTGGAGGTCGGAGATCTTACGTATTTCCGGGGGCAGTTCATTCCACAGGGCTGGGGCTCCCACAGAGAAGGCCCTCCCCCTGGGTGTCACCAGCCGACATAACTTGGCTGATGGCACCCTGAGGAGACCCTCTCTGTGGGAGCGGACTGGTCGGTGGGAGGCTATTGGTGGCAGAAGACGGTCTTGAAGGTACCCGGGTCCTATGCCATGGAGCGCTTTAAAGGTGGTAACCAACACCTTGAATCGCACCCGGAAGACCACTGGGAGCCAGTGCAGCTCGTGCAGGGGGGGGTGTCACGCGGGCACAACGAGTTGCGCCCATAACCACCCGCGTGGCCACATTCTGGACCAGTTGGAGCCTCCGAGTGCTCTTCAAGGGGAGCCCCATGTAGAGAGCATTACAATAGTCCAGCCGGGAGGTGACAAGGGCATGAGTGACCGTGCGCAAGGCGTCCCGGTCCAGAAAGGGCTGCAACTGGCGGATCAGGCGAACGTGATAAAAGGCCCCCCTGGCCACGGCCGTCATATGCTCTTCTAAAGACAGCCGTGCGTCCAGGAGGACGCCCAGATTGCGAGCCCTCTCTGGGGGGCAAAGATTCACCCCCAATAGTCCGTGATGGCACCTGCTGACTATATCGGGACGCCGGCAGCCACAGCCACTCGGTCTTGGACGGGTTGAGTCTGAGCCTGTTCCTCCCCATCCAGACCCGCACGGCCTCCAGGCAGCGAGACATCACATCAAGGGCATCATTGGGGTGGTCTGGGGTGGAGATGTACAGCTGAGTATCATCAGCGTACAGATGACACTTCACCCCAAAACCACGGATGATCTCACCCAGCGGCTTCACATAAATGTTGAATAGAAGGGGCGAGAGGACCGACCCTTGTGGCACTCCCCATGCGAGATGCCTCGAGGTCGACTTCTGCCCCCCTGCCAACACGAACTGCGAGCGGCGGAGAGGAAGGAGGAGAACCACCGCAGAACGGTGCCCCCTATTCCTAACCCTCTCAACCGCCGCAGCATGATACCATGGTTGATGGTATCAAAAGCCGCTGAGAGATTTAATAGGACTAGGACAGAGGAGCAACCCCTGTCCCGAGCCCTCCAGAGATCATCCACCAACGCGACCAATGCCATTTCTGTGCTGTGCCCCTGCCTGAAGCCTGACTGGCACGGATCTAGATAGATGTCTATTATGTCTCCCCTGAACTTTCTCTTCATTAGGCTAAACATGCCTAGTTCCCTTAGCCATTCATCACAATTTAGCTTCCAAACCCCTTATCATCTTTGTTGCTCTTCTCTACACTCTTCGGTCTATTCTTCAAAAAGCAGAGTGGCAGAGTGGTTCCCCTCCAATTTATCCTTATAACAACCTTAGGCTGAGGACAATGACCAGCTGAAGGTTATTCAGTTTGCTTATAGGCTGATTGGCAGGACTTGAATCAGAAACTCCATTCATAGCTTGAAATGTTCATTTGGACGACATTTATTTTACATATACTCCCTGGCCTCAGAGCATTAGGATGGTTTATTCTCCTGTTGAGCTCGTTCATTTCCTCAGTCACTTTTATTATGAATTGTCTGTTTTAAGTGGCCTGAATAAAATTATTGCATGATTTTTGAGATAGAAGAGGCTGACTCAAGCACAATCATTTCAGAGTTGGGATCACATTAAAAATTAGGAAATCACTCTTAACGTAAAAGGAAAGTAGCTCCTTCTTGAAACACTCCAAATAATGCTCGGAATTTGACCCAAATCTTTCTCAACTTGGATGCTTCCACATGTGTTGAAACTAGATGTAGTCCCAACACATCTGGAAAGCTATCAGTTGGGTGTAGCAGTTCTACCCCAATGAAAATCTGATATATTTTACTTTAAGCAGTTAAAGCAATTTTTCTGCTGATGATGTTCATAAGTTAGAATGACTTGAATACAACATGGTAATGAAAACTTGTTTATACATCTGGAAAGGCACAATTGAGAAAAGGCTAATATCGTAATAGAAAACACATATTTCTCTTTATAGTATCAAAGCCTCCTAATATGAAGTGACTGCTTTTCTTTTAATATTGAATCTAAACTAATATTTCTGCCTTTTCTAACATTCAATATATATAGCCATTTTGTATATGTGTTTGTAATACGTAAAAGGCTCTGTAAACTGAATGTGATGTTATGCATATTGTCAAATTGTTTAAAACTATTTACTCCTATTTTACTCCTTTTTCCCCCCTTGATTTTTAAAATCAGATGGAAGGGTTAGTAAAAGATTTATCTATGTCACTTATTGTTATTGTTTTCAATAAAACATAATATTCTGTGTTTCTTGTACATTCAGTGCTTAGGATTTGTTACTCTCTCTATTGTATTTGCTATCTTAATTTCTTCAGAAAGGGAACAGGAAAACAAAATGTTAGAAACTGCTAATGTGTTTGTCCTAATGCCTGGATGATTAATATAACATAGTCACTTACAAACAGAAATTCCGGTAACACAGGAGTTGACTAGTAGTATTTAATAGGAGTATTTTTATTTAGTATGTACATATTTAATAAGTACAAAACATATTTTCCCCACAACAACTTGAATCTATGCAACTTTTATTAATGCCAGATAAAATGTGAAAAAGTAGAATAAGTTGGGGAAAGGATGTAAGGATATCTGCACATTTGTGATTAAATGTAGCATATCAAAGTACAGTATATCTCCAAGGCTACAACACGAAGTACACTTACTTTTTTAATGGTTCTTATTTCTGAGTAAACATACATAATGTAGCTTTAAGTATAGCAAAGGGGTATATTCCAGTTAATAAGACTTTACTTACCCTTTATCATGAGAAGGTGTAGAAATTCAAAATTAATAATAGCTTTAAATGCAATGGCTTCTAGCTAAAATAGCAAAACAATTGAATCGACACATTTGAGATGCAGTTATTTTCAGTTCATTTCATTTTCAATTCAGTGGTGAAATGCACTTATCTTCACTACTGGTTCGGGAATGTGACATGTGCCTCTTCTGCACATGCTCACATTCACGTACAGACCCTTCATGTGCAGACCCTTCTGCGCATGTTATATCAAAAACAAGACATAATGACGTCCCGGCGGGTGGGCGGAGCGTCCTGCCACCGGCACTACTGGTTTGCGCAAGCTGGATCGATCCGGCCGGACTTCACCGTTGTTTTCAATTCATTTTGAAAGAGTTTTACAGGTAGTCCTCAACTTACAACCACAATCGAGCCCAATGTCTGTTTCTAAGCAAGGCAGAATTTAAATGAGTTTTGCCCATTTTATGACTTTTTGCCATAGTTGTGAAGTGAGTCACTGAAGCTGTTAAGTGAATCATGGTCATTAAGCAAATCTGGCTTCTTCCATTGACACTGCTTGTCAGAAGCCAGCTGGGAAGGTTACAAGTGGTGATCACATGACCCTGTCACAGTGCAACTGTTATAACTACATGCCGGTTGGCAAGTGCCTGAATTTTGATCATGTGACTATGAGGATGCTGCAATTGTCGAAAGTGAAAAACGATCATAAGTTTCTTTTTTCAGTGCTGTTGAATGGTCACTAAAAATGGTTGCAGGTCGAGGACTACCTATATATCACATTGTTACAATTGAAAATACCTAACTTGTTCTCTGTAAATATGTATATTTGTATATATGTTATTGTGTGTTGTCATTATGATCTTTTTCATTGGTTCCTACTTATCTTTTGCCCCGCCTCCTCTGTATATAAATAGTTGCTCCTGTCAGAACCGCTGCTGTCCAAATGTATTCCTGAGGAAGACAAGAAATAAATACCTTTGTTATAAGAAAGCCTTCAGTCTTTTATATTGGGCCTGACCAGAATAAATAAACAAGTAACAAATTGGTAGCAAGAGGATGGTTTGGTAGGCCCAACCAAAAATAAAAATGCAAGAATCACAAAAAGACAAAAGAAGACCTGCCACTAGATATATAACAAAAAGAATGGCAGCCCAGCTGACTCCTGACAAAAACACAATAACTGAAGAAATGAAGAAATATACTCAATTCCAAGAAGAGGAATTTCTGACAAACTCCAAAAAATCGATAG